CTTTCTCTCTGATGAGCTAGACCAAAGTCCGCAAAACTCATTGCAACGTTGAAATTGAACGACCGACTGAAACGTGCTCGTTTCATTCGATCTTTTTTGCATCGTAAAACAGTGCGGTTTATCGATACCTCGCGACAACGCGATAATCGCGACCAAGAATTGTATATCTTATGAAATACGAATAACCGTCTATGGTTTTGGTCCGCTGACCAATCCACTTTTCTCTCAACATATTTATTATTAACTATAAAGGAAAATCTATTTCCTATTTAAGAGACTCTCTCCCTACGTGAAACGCGATCCGATCTTGAATGACCTGCAACGTTTTGTTCCGGCACGTGCCTTTATCTTCATGCAATGAAAATTAGTGATGACTGATTTAAGTGAACGATTTACTAAGTCTACCCACGGTTACTCGAATATAAGTCGTCCACTTATAATTCACTTTTCTCTTCCTCTTGTTCCTTCTCATCTTCTACTTCTTTATCTTTTTCTTTGAAACATCAACTGAGAGAAAGAGAGAAAAAGAAGGGTCGAAGGGAGGGGGAAGGGGGGAGGAAGAGGGTTAACAGAAAAGGAAAAGAGAAAGTAAGGTGTAAGCTATCTCGTCGAGTGCAAAGAACCTACGAATCGTTTATCTGATAAATCTCGTAAGTCAAGAACACCTTTGAAAAGTACGCTACCTCGTGCTTCATACAATACCTCGACCATTTTCTTCGAGTACTGTCTTGTCTTTCTACTGCGTGTCATCTTCTTATTATAAAATGATTGGACACGTGCAACGCGTCGCGTCACGTCGCATCGCGTTAATTCATTGTACGTACTTTACAGATTTACGTCGTTGTAACTCGTAAAGATCTTCTCTCCAGATCTCTTCTACTTCTTCTTCTTTTTCTTCTTCTTCATTTTGGTAACTCAAATCTCGAAATATGTAAATATCTAAGCATCAAGCGTATGATGAAATAGCATCGACGTAAAAGTAATAAAACGTTTAAATTCTTATTCGATAATTCAAAAGTAACCTTTCTTTTTTATTTTTGACAAGTTGAAATCTATTAAACGTCAAATTTAAACACCGCAATGTTCGAGTACCAAAGTCCGAGCAACCTCGACGTTTTCTATTAGAAATATGATGATAATAAATTTATAGATGGCGTCTATATATTTTTTCGTTTTGGTTTATAGACGTATATGACATATGACAAAGATTTATAGGGTTTCCAAAGCACGCTTCTTCGAAACCTCTTTCGCATGCCAAAGTGTTTCCTCTCCTCCTCCTCTCCTTCCTTCTCTTCTTTCTACTCCTCCTTCTCCTCTTACGGAATCGAACAACGTGCAAAAGTCACCAACAGAGGGATCGTAAATCGCGATATGGCTACTTGCAAATGAATGAGAAATGACAATAGCAACGGGGGCAAGCAAGCAAGGGTAGGTCATGCCAGAAACGATCTCCGACCTCTAACGGTACGATTGTTTCTACGTATGTACCTACGTACATATACATCTATACGTTAGTATGTTCGGTCGTTCGTTCGTTCGTTCGTTACTCGCATGGAAAAAATGTTGAATAGGAAATCGTCGTGAGAGTTTTTCGATTCGCCAGAAATGATTGCGAAACTTCTCGGTAGTCGATGCTTACATGCACTCGTCCTGGCAAACGAATTCCAAATCTATCGAGGTATCTCGAAACCCCTATGAGAAACGTATTACGTTGCAACACTTACTCGTGCGTGCGAAGAAAGAATTCGGCGCCACATCGATCTCCCAATCTCGATACCTATCTGAAACGAGATAAGAAAAATTCATTTAATATTAATAATATCTAGTAGTTTATACGTATGCGTTTAATACGACGTACGAATAGATTTCTTTTTTTCTAACGACTTTTTATATAATATTTAGAAAATTCTTCGCAAGTCTTATTCATATAGTGCATATCGAACTATGGATAAAATATCAACATGATTATTTGCGATTTATATAAGGATTGACGGAATCCTTTTTTAAGGTTATCGGTTCTTCAGTCGATACTCGGATCGACGTGTTAATCACTTGCGTTATTCTCTTGATTCTACACAATGTACTTTTAGTACTGTAATTATAAGAACGAACATTGCTCCTCCCTATAATTAATGTTATCGCGGAAGTAGGTATTATCTCTGACATTGTATTAGTTGGAAGAGGTTACATAGAATAATTCATTTATTTTTTATTAATTCTTTTTAAGAAAGATTAAAATTAATTAAATGATTACAACTTCCGCGGGACTAGGTATTCAATTTTCTACGAAATTTCTTGACGACGTAATCGATAATAACTGTACTTTAAGAAAAGAACAAAAAAAGAGACGTATGAACAAAAGAAAAAGAAAGTGTACGTTAGAGTTCATTTTTGTCCTACTTTTCTTTTACGCTAACGAAAAAAGTGTAGGCATGCACGTATGGGCATGTACTATGGAACGTTGAGATCGATGGCGATGATGACGACGATGACGATGACGGCGAGGATAAAACTGACGTGGGAGAACAGGCGCCAAAGAACGCGTAATTGTTTTGAAAGAGAATCGAGCTGCGTCGTCTCTTTCGTGTGAGATGTGTGAAAGGCGATTCTCCATGAGTGCCTGCCTGCTCATGCTAATGTTACTGCTTCAGGCTGCTGCTTCAAACAGCTACTTCAGGTTGCTGCTATAGCAAGCAACAAAAACAGCGACGTAAACAGGTTTTATTTCTTTCATTGTAGGTAGAACAATCTGCGCTATTCCATCTTCTCTTTTAAACATCCGGTAACACCTACTGATATTGGGACAACAATCCTTGGGAAATTATAATCGAACGGTTTTGTTGCTACGTAGATAATGACGTTCCCAAAGATGCAAATTGACTACTTTACATGACTAATCCAATCTTAACTCACATTTTACTGTTATTCTTTTCAACAATTATACGTCAACGAGTGCAATTAAAATATACGTTTGATACGCCAAGCACGCATCTCATAAAAGAAGCTTAAGAATTCTTTTTATCATAGTTCCCATATTTATGCCATTATTTTTCGTTCTAAAGTATAATTTCGATCGTGCCAGCTTAGAAAATAAATTTTCTTTTTCTTTTACGGCGAAGCAAAAGGAGAGACAAGATGAGAAATACCGACGACGAACACGAGCGAGGCAATTCGAAATTTCGAAACAAGATGTATCCAATCGTAAGGTATTCGAGTGGAGGCACCAACAATGGAGATTATTAGCATTGGCTGAGCCGACTTCAAGTTGATATTGGTCTCTCGAGCTCCGACATATTGTAATCACGCGGATATATTGTGCTCGCGCAATGCGCGCTCTCGTCCCTCCTCCTCTCGGCTCCGTTTGTTTGGCTCCAGCAACGGCAGCAGCGATCAATGGCCTTCTCTATCCTCCCGATAACTCGATAATATTACACGCGAAAACCGCTTCCGACGTGCTCGCCCAGTCAGCGAGCCACTTGTGCGAGCAAATAACGAGTTATCGGAAAACCGATTTTATTTTCGAGGCCAGGACGGATTTTTTTCTCCCATTCTCTATTTTACCTCTTTTTTTCTTTTTTTTTCTTTTTTTCTTTTTTCCTTTTTTTCTTTTTTTACCCTTTGCTACACCACCTCTCTTTCTCTTTCTCTCGATTCTCTCGATCGTCTATTTCGCGGTACACGGTCACGATTGAAACTTGATACGTAAATTTATCGGCATCGATTCGCCGTCCGATGCGAAAACTGTGCGAAAGCCCAAATAAATCGAGCGAAGAGCCGAGAATCGAAAGCCGGTCACATTTTCACACGTTTCCCCAGTTACGATCTTGATACGATCTCTATCGTCAACGATTTTGTCGATAGAGTTCAAAGAACTCTCTAACGTGGAGCAGTTGAATTGTTTCAGAAATTGAGAAAGTGAAAAAGATTTGTTTATAAACGCTCGACAATGTACTAAGTAAATTACTAACTTTTCAAACTACAATAACGTCGAAATAAATAGTTGTCTTTTAACATCTCACCTAGTCTATATTTACGAATACTTTCTCAGGATAACTACAAGTTATTTTTTTCGCTCCTATAAGTTCTCAGGAAACTCTTTGAAACCGTAACTTAAAAGAAATAAAATATTACGCGTTAACGCTATTATAAATGAAATTTCACTTGCTTATTATTTATTTTACAAATAAGTAATGGAAAACAAATGCGATCTATTATTATTAGATGAAAACGATTTAAGTAATGGAAAAGAAAATTCGATTAAAATGAAATTTTAGTCATGATAGGGCTAAGAAAATCAAACTGCTTGGTAAGAGAAACAAATTCGAGGAAAGGTAAAAGTTAAGAGAAAAACGCGAACGTCCATTGAAATAAGTAACAATGAATGGAAGAAAGATTTTTCGGAGGATGAGAGTCTCGCGTGTAGAAGAAAGAAAATAACTCCTCGTTGTTCCGGCGACGCGCAAACGACTGCTCGCACCTTCAAAAGAGCACCCTTCGTGAACGTGACGTATGGAGGTGAGAGGTTACGCTCGAATCGTTTCTAGGAACGCCATTACGGCGGAAACATTACGTGCTAGATTTGTTTCGGGCCGTAGTTCTAACGACGTCCCGCTCGTTTCCTTTAACTTCTTTTCGCGGCTTGCTTTTTCCCGCGAATGCAAAAATCTCTCCCGAGAAGTAAGATTTTACGATAGGCCAGCTCGATTTCCAAAGGTAACGGCATTTCAACAGATTTTTTGTTCACGATAAAGAACATACCTAACTGTTTGGATTCCACGCATAGGTATTCTAATAAATTAGATTTACGATATTGCTTTATCGATAATCGAAATGCGAATGTTCAAGTTGTTTCAACAAAAGGCGTTGAAAACTTGTCTACGATAGAACAACTCTAATAATGAATATTGCAAATCTAATGACAAGATATTAACGATAACAATATAACATTGATATTCGTGCTTTTTTCCTATTTTTATCTATACTTTTTTCTCTTTTCACAGATTTTGAAAGAGATTACTCAGGCAAGAAGCGAACAACTCGAGGAATTGGAAAAGCTTTTTAACCATCTCCAAAATCATCACAATCTAAAGGACTACGACGGAGAGAAGACAGGAAGGTAAGTTAAAATGATTAAAAGATACGTTCTCTCGCATGCTTCTTAAATAAAACCGTACGTTTCCATTGATAGACTTTTATTCTTCTTATTCGTGTATTTCATCGACGAGAAAAACACGATTATCCTTGCGATACTCTCATACGTTGTTTCTCTTATATGCTTACTTATCTATGAGCCATGAGAAAATCGTAGTTTCAAGCATCGAATTCGCGTGAACTCCTATCTCTTTCGAGATTTCTATGCCAAGAAAGACAGGAATAGTAAAGAAAACGAAGAAATCGGAAAGCGAGTTTCAAGGAACTGAGTCAATCCTGTCGATTGGAGACTGATTAGGCGGTTGCATTCGACGATCGGAGATTTTCTATCGCGATGCATTTTCCTTTAAAGGTTTTGCTTTGTGCCGGTACTCTTTGCTTTTCCTTCCTGTTTCTTTTTCTTTTTCACTCTTGCACACACATATACACACACACACATACACATTCTATTTGCGCGTCCTTTTTTTCCTTCCAATCTCTCCAATGAACGATATCGTTCAAGGAACCTTCCGAAAGGCGAAAATCCGACGAAGAGATCGGCTCGGAAAAGATACGTTTCGAGATAAAAGAAAGATGAAAAAGTTCGAAATAGGATAAATCCTTTATAATATATAATATATTTACATACAAGAGGCAGAAGTTTATTTTATTTGTAAAAGTAAGTCGAATGAAAGGAGTACCATTGTTTATGGTACCGTGTTAGTGGAAATTGTATTTCAAAATATTTAATTTAAAAACCTTCTGCTACCATCAATTTTTAGGTAATCATGGAAGCAACTGCATTCAATTAATCTTTTCTATATCACCTTTCTGTCCGAATGGTAATGATTTGGAAATCGTCGTGTATAATATTCAGCTGTTTCTCATAGTTCGATTGATAGGAAAAAACTAAACGAAGAAGAAATAAATTGTGCGGCTTAAGACATAACGTAAACATAACAGAGATCAGCACGACAAAAAATATTACTTTTGAATAACATTATACCTATATGAAAATAAAAGAAAGTAATCTATTGTCATTTAGTATTTAGTAAAATTAAATATAATAATCCTAAGATAGATTTCTCTATATAAGAATTTAGAAATTTTGCATTATCAGCAAATATCAATTGATTTAAGTTTACGGTGTAATCGGATACGAATACTTTTGTGACCTATTGTATAAAGTTATATTACTTTATATAGTATATCTTATCAAAATATTTATATTTATACATAATAATGTTATCCTATCTCTCCTAGGTTGAGTGTTAAAAAATGTTAGATAGAAATTATTTAACAGGAATAAGTACGGTTTTACGCATAACGACACGACTATTGGCCATTCAACGATCTCGCGGTTTTGCGAGTGGTCGTTGGTAGATTATCGCATGTAGAAACATATCCCACATAGATATATATATGTACTTACCTATGTATATATGTATATAGTAGAAAGGCATTAACATATAGGTACGCATAGTTCGCAAGTTCGTCGTCACTCATTCCTCTCGAACGCGCGCATAAATCCGTTTATGAGCGTCGTGTCACGAATTCACGGCTTGTCGCCGATTTTATTGCTCGACGGATCGCTCGTGTAGTGCCCCTCCGGCTTTTATGTCGTTGGATACGACTATTCGAAACTTCCGGCATTCCGTCCGTCGATGCGACGAAGTAAAAATGCGTAAGGTGCGAACGCGCGACTTCGCGCTATTTTACCGTCTTTACTTCAAACCTTCTAAAAGTGATTTAGTATCAACGTTAACTTATACGCTTCTTCCCTCACGATAGTTAAACTTCTAGCGATGATAATTGTCACAAATTGGTCCTGTAAATCAGTCGAACGGACGTCACAGACAATCCTTATCTTTTTTTTTCTTTTTTCTATTCTACTTTTTCTTCTTTTTCCAACAAACTCTCTACGACGTCGAAGAATTTGCGTGATAGTTTGACGTAAATAACAATTAAGTAGAGACTATAGTGTGGTTTATAAAAGTCCCATTTGACTACCTCTTAACATTCACCTATTCTCTTTTTCCTTCTCCTTCTTCTTCCTCGGCCATTCGTTTTTATCACGCCAAGCATAAATCCCAATTACTCGCTCGTGGTGCAAATAATGATCGATAATTAGCAACGGCCGTCGGCTTCTAAGGACGGCTTTTTGCGGCTAAGTAACTTCTCCTTTCGAAGCAAGTTCCCTCCTAGATGAAGCGAACGTTTAAACGTGTATCCTCGATACAGCTAGCTCGTGTCTAGCCGCGTTAAACATCCTCGTAGATATTCAAGGGAATGCGCGTGCGCGAGCACGAGCGATCGAATGAACGATTCCAAACGATATTCCATGCCGATATAAACGGCCACTCTTTTATTTCTTCTCGCTACCTTTCCGATCCTTGTCGAGATACCGACTAACACGCGTTAAGGTATACCTATATTGAAACGATCGAGAATATTATTTAACGCGCTCCCATGTTTCCTCGTTCGATCTTGTTGCCTTTCGGCCTTCCAAGGGAGGAATAAATTCAGCAAAATTTACTTAAAATACAGAAAAAGACGGTACAAAAAGAAAACAGACAAAAGGGTTTAAGGAAAACAAATATAAAGATCTTATGTTCGCCTTCGTGTTATTTTTCTGAACATCTCTTCTATATCGCTACCGATCTTGTCACGATATATACATATGTATATATGTATGACGTTGCATAATAATCGCTTTATATTCAACGGTATAATTATAGCATAATCGATCGATTAATCGACTATCGGATATCACTCTATCGGTTCTTGAGATCGCAGCGGTAACTCGAAATACGTGATAATATATGCCTTCTTGAAAACGATCTTACACGAAGCTTTTCGAAAAAAAGGCCCTTGCTTTTTCTTCTCCTCCTCTTTCCTATACGCTGTATACCCGCATAACGAAGTTCAGCTGTGCGATAAAGTACAGATGAATATCCGATAATCGTCGGGCGTGCTAGTAAATTTCTTTCTAAATCGGTAGTCGAAGCGTGCAGGTGTATTACAGGTGCGATACCTGTCGTCGAGAATGACAGTGCATATGGGGCAGGTGATCTCTCTCGAAAAGGAATCTCTTTGTGATCGACGATCGATCTCAAGAAGTACGGCCTCGATTCTCGTTGCCCCTACCCCACCTCTTCATCTCTCTCTCATTATTCTCTACGAATCGAACCTGATCTTAAGCTCGACGCGATCCCAAAACCGTTTCTACCTAGACTACCTGACTTTCCATAGAACGTTATGGTCCGTTGCGTGGTATTCAACGGTGACGATAAAAGAAAAACGTTCGAATAACGTACACGTATTATATATTTACTCACGTTCATTTTAGTCGACAAAGGAACGTGAGGCAGAAAGAAAGAGAGAGAGAGAGAGAGAGAAATATTTAAGAAAAAGACTACCGTTTTCCAGACACACATACATACACATATATTTTCTCTCTATCATCGATCTATGGTGCATCGTATTGACACAGGTGTAAGTAGCTAACTAACACTAATTCTTTTTGACCCTTCATAAAATCGATCGAGAACGATCGGTTTTGTAAATGTAGCCTAGAGAAAGCTAGAACGAAGACTTACATCTATCGAAGGCTAGATAGGAGAGCCCATGGAAATTGGCAATTATCGCAACCCATAACTAAAGGCTCGGCCGTGCACTCTATCGAGACATAAGGTTTGCTGCACGCTCGGCACTTCGAGACAGAGAGTGTGGGGTCATTACGCGATAATTAGAAATTAAAAATCGGAAGGCAATACCATCGCCATTCATCTCTCTTTCTCTCCCTCTCTCTCTTTCTATACCATAGCAAAACCTATCTATCTCTACCTTGTTCGTTCTTGTCTCCCTTCCTTCTTTCTTTATTCTCTCGAGGCGTGCTCGGTTCACTGCAGTTAAGCGCATCGTCAGCTGGCGAATTGCATTTCTGCAACGACGTCTATACGATGGGTTAACGAACCTGGCGCTATATTCCTTCTACCTCCCTCTCTCTCTCTTTTTTGTTTTTCTTTCTCTCTTTTTCTATGTCTCCTTCCCCTACCAGAGTTTCTTTTACGATGCAAAACGTCGAAAAGGAGCGGCCGTGGATATCGAATTGCCGTCTAAGGTGAACGAAGCATCGAACTACGAAACGCCACCTCTCGTTCTACTTCTTTCAGAGAAATACCAACAAAGTCTTTTACGATCGTACGATCTACTAACGTAACAATGTGCGTAGCTAAACGAGCGAACCCGTCCTCGTTGACTTTCTACGTGACGCAACTTCCCTTCGTCGCAACACGAATCTCAAATCCATCGAACGGATTCCTAACGCAACTCGCGTCGGTTCTCGGCTCTCTCGTCTCTTCTTGGAAAAAGGAGTAAGTAGATCCCGATCCGATGTCGTGTTCTACAGCTAAATTGTGTAAGAAAGAAAAATCTTTCAAAGACAAGACATTCTCTTTTACACGTTTTCTTCGTTTATTTCTTTTTGTTTGTTTTTCCTTTTTTCTTTTTTTTTTTTCCCCCTAGACCATGTCCCGTTTACAATCAGAACGATAAAAGGAAAGTAAAAAATTGTCGAAGGAAGTGAACGGATTTCGAAGGATTGTCTTCCGAATCCTTGAACGGTCGGAACTAAACTGAATATTAATCACCATTCACGCGCCCTTGAAATAGAAATATCGGTGAGCAGACATTCCTCGGACAGTGCTCGACTCGTTTGGTGTGAAAGGGTCGTGAGTTGCAGGTGTACGTAACAGTACGGTTGGCGTTTCCACGTGGGAAAGAAAGCGTTCCTTCTAGCGCGAAGCAACGCCCAAGGAACTGGTTTCCACGTCCTCCACCTTCATCTCCTTCTCCTTTTCCTTCTTTCTTCTTCTCTTCTTCTTTCCTCTTAAGGAATCATCTATTCTGTTCTCTCTCTCTCTCTCTCTCTCTCTATCTCTATCTCATCGTCCCTCTTTCTTTTTTTCTTTTTTTCGTTTTATC